GTGTGACTGCAAGACGTTACGTATCGTGGATGCGGCACGAATCTTTCTAGCATTATTTTTCTTTCTCCCGCTTGCCGAGATCCTAATAAATCATTTGAAGGTACAGGGACGCAAAAAAGTAAATAAATCCTAATGTCGGAAAGTAATTTAATGGCGAAAGTTACTTTCCTCCTTGACGTTTTCCTCCTCTTTGAAGTTAAATTTTCCAGTCAAGTCGGAAAGTCACGATGCAGCACGAATCTTCAAGGGATGTCTCGAGGATATCCCACGTCCCAAACATGTCTAGACATCCTCAAGATATCCCTTTGAGACGTTTATATTAAAAATTTCTCCTAGCCATGTCAAGTTGCAATTAACAAGCATCGTTTTCCATTCCTCGTTAATTTAACGCATCGAATTTAATATACCTTCTGTTAACCCGCGGTTCGGGGGGGAGGGGGGGGGGGTTGAAAGTCACGAAACCACGTTTTTCTCGAGACACCGGCGAAAGGGGGCTGGTACCCCGCTTGCCCCCTTTGAGACGCCGACGTAATCGGAACGGGCGATCGGGATTCGATCGAGATCGGATAATCAGGTTGTTGGCACCTGTGACAACCAACGTAATTAATGCCGGTGCTAGATGCTGGCACCCCTCCCTCTCTCCCCTTCCCTTCTGCATTGTCTGTTCCGTTGTCCCTCTTATTCGGAGCTCGTTAATTCTCGGCAGGAGGACATTACCGGGCAAATTAGGCAGATCGACTCCCCTCCCCGTTTCGCCCTTCCGTTCTTTCTTCTCTTCGCTTTTCCTCCGTCGGCTTATACTCTTGTATAGCTCTTTGGCTCTCAAACGCGGAATAAAGTGGCGGTGAATCGGCCAGGAAGTGGGCGTTTCATCATGATGGAGATTTCAAAAGACATGCAGGGTGAAGGGAGAGACCGAGAACATAGAAAAAAAAGGGCACGACGAGGTGACTTTGCTCCGTCTTCTCTTCGCCGTTGCTTTTCGTAAACTCAACTCTCTCCGCGTTTGTTCTCTCGTCAGTCTCTTTTTCTCCTTTCTTCCTCCAGCTGCTTTTTCTTCAGCCTCACCTTCTCGCGGGGGTAATTAACGATTTAACGGACACACTAGATGAGCAGTGCTGTGAGTTAAGCAAGTTGTTATTAAGACTGACGCAGTGCCCCTCTGAAGAGGGGGTGAGAAGGCATAAAAAAGAAAGAGAGATGAGAGGGAAAAAGAAACAAACTGAATCAGCTTGATGGAAGAGAGAGAGAGAGAGAGAGAGAAAAAAGGAAGCGTAAAGTTTATTATATATCCTAGAATACGAGTCACCCTCCGGGTATTCTACATATAGGGAATTAGATTGCAAAGTAGAAATTAACATAATAAGGTACGAAGTACAGATGGCTGATTCTCGAGGCGAAGAGGAATGCAACAAATACGAAAAGGTAGAAATACGAAGCCGCGCGCGTTGTACGCCATAGCTGAAGGGGTGTATTATTTTAACGAGTACCGTAAGATATAAGAATTTTGCAAAATACGTGTTGCGTGAAATGCAATCACAATAATCAAACCGGCGGGTTCGGAAAGAGGGACCGGGGCATTTACAGAAAGTCGATTCTTTCTAGACCAGCCAGCGACACATTCGTCATGTTTCACATTTTCGTCTAAGAACAGCCGCACGAGTTGTATTGGGCCCCAAGTTCTAGCATCGTGGACACAGGCCTCAAGATGGATAAATGAAGAAATTCGCCGGGGAAATAAGCTGAAGGGATTGTTTGGAGAAAAAGCGCGTCACGGAAGGATGCGAGCGGGATCGGCGCCAAGGATATACTGGACGCAGGGCGAAGGCGCGACGGCGAGACGAGCAAGGCCGTTAATGTTTTGTGTATTCAAATAAAGAGCGGCGGCGATGGGCGCATATTCGCACGCAAGACCCGGGCCCGGGTCTCGCCCATCGGCTAATGGGTTTATAATGCCTTCATTCCACATTAAAACGCCACCGCCAGCCCCCTTCGACGGTCCTCGCGCTGCGTCCTGCGAGAGATTGTCCGGGCCCGGCGGGACAATTCGCCTCCTGTCCGCGATAATGCGCCGTTCTTGCGCGAAATTACACGGTTATTCCAGCGCACGGAGTCGGCGCTGGAAGAAACCGAAACGTCCGAATACTTTTCTCGAGCGCGAAATCGGAAAGATAATCATCCGACAGGAGTAAAGGCCCTGTGTCCACGATGCTGAAACTTGGTTCACGTTCTAGTTTCGAGAAATGTGTAGCCAATCAACTTGCAGCTTTTATGGAGTAGCTGCAAGTTGATTGGCTACACACTTCTCGAAACTGGAACGTGACCCAAGTTCTAGCATCGTGAACATGGGCCTTTACACTATAGCGAAAGTGCTAAAAGTGAATAAGTTCGTCTCTTTCTAACCGTCCCCTTAAAAAGAGACAAAACCGCTCATTTTTAGCATTGTCACTGTATTGTAAAATACAGAATTGACTACAAGACTCTAAGGCCTGTGTCCACGGTGTAGCCAATCAACTTGCAGCTTTTATGGAATAGCTGCAAGTTGATGGTTACACATTTTTCGAAACTAGAACTTGGACCAAGTTCTAGCATCGTGGACACAGGCCTTTACACTATAGAAAAGTGCTAAAAGTGAATAACTTTCCCCTTAAAAAAGAGACAAAGCCGCTCACTTTTAGCATTTTCGCTGTATTGTAAAATACAGAATTCACTCCCTATTCTTGGATCATGGACACAGGCGTTAACAGCGTAAAATTATTGAGAACTCGCCGCAGAATTGTACACGGCAAATTCAAAGATTGGCAATACAAAACTTTTTCCAAAACAATCTCTGCCCTGAGGAGACATTTAATATAAATAATAATTTAATGTATAATATGTTACGATTAATATTTTTTTACTTTCGCGTCCCTTTCCGTTTTCCCTGCCGCGCGCATATAGAGGGCGTAGTCGTGGTCGAAATATCACCAGATGTACTTGCGAACGTTTTTCTTTGTTGGCGGCGCTGAAGGCGCACACATCGCCTTTCTATGTATACGCGCTTATTCCCTCTCTTAACACACTAAGTTCGTCAAGCGCCTCGCCTGTGTTCGTATCGGCAAAATACATTTTTGTTTCCTTCTAAGCACACTGTCTGTTTTCGTACCCAAAACCTCCACTCGCAACATAATATATAATTTAATATAAACATAGCATGTCAAACAGCGCCCAAGTCTTAAGCCTAATCTAAAATGTGCTCTCTGCAAACCTTCCATTTTGTATAAACAAACCGAAACGCTTAAGAAATTTGTCGACAATGTACGATTGTACAGTGTACAATAAACAATTCATCCACTCTTGCGCAAATTTTTTAAACGTATTTATCGTCTACAAAGTGGGATGTTTCTAGACGAAAGGAGTACATTGCGGATTAGGCTTCAAAGTCGAACGAAAGCCGAAATACGCGTAAAGGATCCCCGAACGATTAAGACGTCCGGTGTCCGTGATAAATTTTTTGTAAATTATACTCCCATCAGAGGTGACTTTCGCGCGGCAAGATGCGCTCCACTTTAATAAGCAGAGGCGATTCGTGCGCCGTCGTTCCCGGGTCTTTTTACCGAAGGTGCGATCGCAATCGCGTGCTTTACGGCGGCGCGAGGGCAGGGGAAGGCCCTAATCAAGCGACCGGACATCCTCGATGTTTACGACGACGAGACGTCGCGCCGCTTTTTCCCTTTTTCGTCGTAACGCTCTCACCGTGTCACTCCTCTCGGCGCCGCCGCTAATACCGGATCCCGTCGCCCTTTCGTGCCGAACGCGACGCGTGATTTACGACCGAAGGATGGATCGGCCGGCCGAACGGCCGCACGTCTATTCATGCCTAATGTCCGCCTGATACGGCCGTAACGACGAAAATGTATTCATCCCGCCCGCTTTACGACACGATGATCGCCCGACGAATTAATAAAGCGAATATCCCGGCGAACGATAAATTTAATCCCCGTTTAGTATGCTAATTAATTATTTCAATTGCCGATGCAATGAAAGTTATAGCTTTCATGCGTGTTCGCGATCTTAACGGATGGGAGATAAAATGAATGTGTGCTGTAATGATTGTAAAGAATATACGCGGGACGAAAACCAGTTTGTAGAAATTTGCTGAAGAAAACACTTGACGACGTGTGTCACTACCCTCGATCCGCGAGAGGACTTTATACGCAGTAAGTAGGCATCAAGCGTCGTCACGCGCGATGCCGCGAAAATATAAATTTCAGTGCGCTCGCTTTCGAGATTCTTAAATGCCTCAGCGCCGTAAAATATACCGGTGAAACGTAGTAAAATGTATATTATTAAAATAGAAATAATTCTTTTCGCCGCGCGATAAACGCGCGTCACGTGCGCTGACAAAAGTGCCCGGCGAAAATGACGACACGAGAACGATCTCGTGACCGTGTCGGCGATCGGTCGGTCTCGCCGGCTTGCATTTCCAGCAAACGGTGACTCTCCTTCATCCCCTAATCGCACGGTCGGCTCGAGGATCGCGTGATGATGCCTTTAAACGGGGCATCCTGTAGCCGGTTAACCGTACAGAACCGACAACATTTGCCTAAGCGTGTACACGCCAGGCCGGGGCAGAATCACCGCGAATAATAGTTCCTTACCTCGATCACATCGGATTTACCCACGCCAAGGATGAGAGAGAGTAGACACTCGAGCGATTTGTCCGCAGGATAATATCTGCGCGACGATAAACAATCTATAAGAGAGAGAGAGAGAGAGAAGGAGACGTTCTTGTTATTTATGAGTTAATTATATGACGAGCCTCGGTACCTGCCCCCTCGCGCGGATTATCCTGGATTAAATTCTTACGGACAGGCGATAGGAAATTCGATCAAGTCCGTTTTATCTTTCCGAAGTTCTTGCAATTTAAACGGAACCATTTCGGGAGCAAAAGAAACACGCCACGAGAACCGAAAGGGGAGGAAGTGTACGGGCGGGGGGGAATTTCGGCGGCGCGGAAATATTCGTACAAGAAGTTTATTAGGGTTTATTTACAAGGGAGCAGCTTGCACAGCAATAGGTGTATGCGTTCCTCACAACACAAGCATTAACAATATAACGCTCTACACTAACACTAATCGCCGCGGCGATAATAATCCTTTAGGTGCTCGCGGAGAGCGCGCGGAGTGTCGCTCGGAGGTACTCGTTAATGATCCTAATTCTTCAACCCCTCGCTACGCTCAACGCGAACGCGAGTCGGAGTCCGCCCCGGTGTTTCCTTGGGCGATTTCGCGGGAGGGGTCGTAGAGGTACTTTTTTCAGTCGTAACGTATCGCGCCCAGCGCGCTCACTTCGCGCTCGCCCCGCGTCGAAATATCGAAACATAAATAACGATAACAATAGCGCGTGATACGAAATATACAGCTTATATTACAAGAGATAGAGGTGTAATTATCTTATATCGCATGTATTGTAGATATATGTATACCTATATACAAGTAGAGTCGCCGTACGGCTTAGTTGCCCTTAAAGATGCATATACGTGTATTATGCGCGGCAATTATGCCGCCGTTAGAACCAGAATGGTTACATATTTACAGTCCGCTCGTATTCTTCGCGCGCGCGCGCGCGCGCGATCCATCGAAGATCGCCGTGATCTTCGCGGCCGCGCGCCCGACCTCGAAGCGACGCGATCGCGTTTCTTGCGTACAAAACGAAATGACGGACGAAATATGGAAATACATGGGGAAGGGGGGAAGGGGGGGCGCGTATAACGAGAAACGGCTTTGCGCACGACAAAATCAAGTTATCGGATTTGGCGTGTCATCGCAGTTCTTCCATCGAGAGCAGCCTTGGCGATCAACCTACCGCAAGATGCAAGTCGAATGAAACATAAGCGAATGAAACTCGAAACTTGAAGGTATCTTACTCCAGGCACCTTCCCCGCGAGTGCGACAGATTTTTGCGCGACGATACTCCTCTTATTTTTTATCGATTTCAAAGCGCGTCCTTAGGTGCATCCCCGACTACCAGGATCGCGGCGGTCCTATCGCTTCCAATCGCTGATCGAGGCGTAGATATGTGCAGATCGAGCTCCTCACGGTCCCAGGGTTCAGTCGGGAGACAACGGAATCGCCGAGTCACGTGAGACGGCTCGGGTCCCCTGTTCTTGCCACCACGCTCGCCAAAGGTCGAAAGTTCAGCCGAGAGAGCATTCAGGCTCTCTTTGGAGAGCGTGAGCTTTCCGTTTCTTTCCTCCGCTCCGTCTTCGCGGCGCGATACAAGGAACGGAGAGCGACAACTCGCCGCGGCCAACTCGGCAACCTTTGACACCACAATTATCATTGCTATTCACGCCGGATTCTACGCGTTTCGTCGGCGCGCCCCGGACTCGCGGCGACCTCCTCCCGTGGAGGTCTTTCGGCGCCGCGCGACACGCGCGCGACGAAAATCGATCCCCGTTCGCGCAAACATTTCATAACGATTTGCGTTACGCGTGCACGTGAATGCACACGAATGCACGTTCACCTTGTATTCGTCTAACGGAATGGAGACCGGCTCCTTAATAATATAATAAAGACAAAAAGTATAATACTTGTACCGTAGATATTGCACTTTTAATCAGAAAATTCTATAACCGCTAAAATTCTGAAAATCTAAAAAAAAAACAAGACGATTATTTTAAGTAAAAATAATACGATGGAAATCGACTTTCACCGCGCGCAAAAGTCTTCGTCGGTTCTCGGTGAAAGAAGACGAATATTGCAAGGCGAATTAATCGCTAACGCTCCGGTCTCGGTCGAGAAAAGTTGACTTTCATCACGTGGAGAGGAATTAGATTCCTCCATAAAAAAGTCACAACGCAATTCGCGGCCCGATTCTGCCGAATCTCCCATTTCTGAATGAGAGACGCCAGCTTTCGTCTTAGCGCAGTCTTAGTAAAATATCTCAAACTCCTTCTAGAGTCCCTTGAGGAGAAAATCGTGACCACTGTTTCCCTAATGAAGCCACAAGGGACTACGAGGGCGAGAGGTCCTGGGCCTCCCTGCTAAGACTATCCGTGGGCGACGGCGTGGCCCTTCTGGACGGCGACGGCGACGGCGCAGCCGGCGTCGAGGACTTGGGCGCGGTTGCCGTGTGATAGGGCGAGAATCGGTGGTGAGTTAGGGCAAGGGGCGACGGGTAGAGCGGCCGGGGGGCCGCGGGGCCCGTCGGGTTCTGCTGAGAACTGGACGCGACCAGCTGCTGCTGGTGCTGTGCCGCTGCAAAGATAGTGGGTCCGAACGACGAGGCCCACCACAGATGGCCCAGTTGCTGTTGCTGCTGCTGCTGATGCTGCTGCTGCTGATGGCTGGTGCCCGCGGTCGAGGCGCCCGGATAGACCAGGGCCGGGCTGACCAGCTGGGCGTAAGGGCCGACAGCCACGGCCGCCGCCGCCCGCAGCAACATTTGAGAACGCGCGGCCCACAAGGCTTTCTCTTCGAGGCTGAGATTGTTCACGGCGCCCGCTTGGAGCTGCTCCATCTCGAAGGGCAGCCGATGCGGAAACCTCAGCGATTGCTGTTCCGCCAGCATCGACTCCATCGTCTCCCTGAAAGGGAAGCTGCTCCATTATGCACACTATCTTCTAGCCGCAGGATTCTCCGGAAAGACTTTGAGGAATTTCGTCGGCCGTTACAAGCAAAATTCTCTAATGGACTGCCCATCCCGTTTATCCAAGTACTTATGCGTTTAATTTATCTTCTTTTGACGAAGCGAAAGTTAAGCTTTGGACACGTGTCATTGAGACTAATGATCTTCAAGTCCGGTAGCTTCCAATTTCACGCTAGCGGATAAATTTAACCCGAGAAGGTAAGAGATAAATCTCTTTTCTACATCAATACAGAATCTGTTTCGAGCGAGATCTACGTTGGACTTTAGTTCCGAATCATTTTATCATCGCGAATTTCATCAAATTTGCGCTATCTAACGTCAGTTAGCAAGGAGTTTACCTTTCAAAGTCCGTGAGACGAGAGGAGTCCCGAAAGCCCTTGGCGAACGGATTACTGTCGATCTTGAGCTTCGTGATCTGTAACAGGCGGAAAAACGGCCGTCGGTTAGTACACGGCGGACAGGAGATTGGCGATCGGAGATCCGGTCGCCCCCGGACTCGCATTAACATCGACGATCTCTCGCAAATTCCCCGATCTTATTCCCCGGCGCGCGCGACAGCTCGGCTTCGCTCCGGGAAAATTACGTCACCGGACGGCCAACGGCGCGTGGCGGAAAACGGCCGGCTGTTTCGAAACGGTTCGTTCCATCGATCGGGAGTCAACGGCTCGTAAAATTAGAAGAAGGCGGCGAAGCGACGTACCTATACGACGAGGGGGAGGGAGGAGCAAGTAGGGGAATCAGGGGGATCGGAGAAGAGATAGGGGAACGTCGCGCTGATGCACGGGAATCCTCGCGGGCGTTACGGGAGCGAATCGGGGATGCACTGGTTTCGAGATTTTTCTGGCAAATAGCACGCACCGCTGGCTGATTCATCGCTCCAACTGAGAGAACGGATATTACTTTCGACCGGAGCGAGATAAGTAACCGCGATACTGCCCGATATCGAATACGACAGTTAACCCTTCGATAAAGTCTCTTTATAGCACGACGGATTAGACAATTTTTTTCCATTTATCAGCGTTCAAAAGAGCCGATCGTCTCAAAAGCGATATGAGAAAAATTATGAGGTTCCATTAATGCACTAAAGATGTATTATCGGCATATGGATTGTGCGCTGTGTGCCGTTTCAAAATTTAATCGAATTATAGTACAAAAGACATTGTTAAAAAGGAGGGTATCCAATTATTATCTTGTATCTGTAATATCTTTTCTTGGACGTGTCCAGAAAATAAACGATCTTCATTTTCAGTAAACAGTTTTCTCTCCTAACATTTCCCTTATAATGGATCCCTTTTATTCTAATGGCTTATGCCACGTTAGCAGGCAGAACCACCTCTCGCTGCGAGGCCAAAGAACGCTTTGTTCGCACTCGACACTTAAGAAACCGTCGTGGTGGTCGACAAGAAGAAATCCGAGAAAGTTTGTCTACGTGTTGGTCTACATATCGTCACGTTTGTAGTAGCCTCTTAAGTGGTTCGACTGCCTTTCCTCTCCTGCACGTGTGTGCGCCACCCCTACGGAAATCTACCCTAAGTCAGATCTGCACCCTAAATTCAGTGTTTCGCGTTACCTACGGGCCCACCCACGGCGGATGGGACGGATACACAGGTGGCCCCGTTTTCCAGGTCTCCAACGTTAACGATCTAACCGACGACGGCTTTCGTCTTGCACTCCTATTTCAGCGAAACCTATTGAGGGCCGATTTCGGGACTGATTCCCGTGGGATACCTGGGTCCGAACTGCTGCAAAGTTTCCAAACATATTGTGTTATGTTGAACCGACTGAATTTTCCGCATTTAAGCGCGAAATGCGTCAGCTTTCTTACGCTAAAAGACGCACGTGACCACGGAAACTACTTTGACAAATAGCATAAGACAACTGCATTCTGCAAAGCAGTGGACACTTTGTTGCTTCGTTAGGACGCGCACCCTCATAATGACGAGTATCGTATTTATTATTAACAATTCTTATTAGTGGTAGGTGCTACTAATTTAAAAAAGAACATTTTGGAAAACTGCGTACATCTCGGTTATGGAACACGCACACATACACACAATCCTAAAATACAGATTGACGTGTCGTAGATAAATCAATTGAAATGTCAATTTTGGCGGATATATATATACATTTTTATGCGGACTCTCAAAATAAATCAGCACTTTTAAGGTAATTAAGACTATCGCAAAGATGTCGAAAGATTATTATAGAGAATTAATGGACTTTTACACATCTTTAAAGAACGTTTTCGGTTAGTGTTATAAAAATACGCGTTACAAAAATAAACGATCTATTTGATAAGCTTTTCCTATGATGCCAAAGGTGTTTAGCCAGGTTTGAAACCGCGTCGGTAATTGGGTGATTAGACGACGCCGTTAATTAACGCCTTCCCACGCGCGCTGGCGAAAGAAAGCATCGGCGGTACCGCATAAAAATGTCAAACAAGCGCAGTGATATCCCCGACACGAACCCATCTAATTTCCGTCCGGCGAGCCAGCAGGCATAAATCAGTCTTGTCTTCCGGGTCGAGTGTCACGGACGAGATGCGGCGCGGTTCGTCCGTACGACACGCTCCTGCTGCTTCGACTGCTTGGGGTCTTTCGGAAGACCCTCCCTCCCGCAACCCGAGATGAGACACAACACGCGTGTATTTATTTGGAAAAAGGAGCCGCTTGTCGCAACTTCAGTTGCCCGTAGGTGGTCCAATTAATCCGCACTGTCCCAAAACTAGGAAGCAAACGAGGCGTCCCGCTTCCACGATAATTCAATTTAAGAAAAACTACCGCATGGCAACGTTATTTCAATGTTATAATTTAACACTGGAAGATATTTGATGTTAGCAGTGCGCTACAGAACCACTAATTGTATCGATAGCTAGAAATATTCCATGGATTACACTGTTAGAAGTAGATCTATCACACATGTGTGAATATTAACACGTCACACACTTGAAATGTGTGAATATTAATGCGTCACACATATTTAATGCATAATTTTTCAAACGTCATGCATTATCCTCTTAATATGCGCGTGTGAAATGCATTAGAGAATGTGTGGAAATCACACACTTCAATGTGTGGATTTTATCAAACATCTAATAATGTTTGAAATAGTCAAACATCGTAATATTCACACATGTGAAATATTTCTATACGTTTGAATATAACACACTTTGGGAAAATTCACACACTGAGTATAGTAACGCACTTACTAGTCACACACTGATCAGTTACATACTGCAACTACCTCAGACAACATCGTGCGAAATCAGTGCTCGTTGTGGATATCCTACCGTGTGTTATCCCATCCGTTTTGTGCTTCGGACGATCGTGAATAAAGTGCCTTCAAGTCTAGACTGTGTCCTATTGCTAACATCTCGGAAACCTCGTTCTTCCTCTTTATTTCTGATTCATGCTCTTTTCGCTAACCTCCCGTTTCCCTAACCTAACCTAACCTCCCACTTGGATCGCATCATATAATGTAATTAGTTGTTTTAAACGGCAAGAACCGTGTAAAAAGTGCTTTCACCAAATTACATATGTGTATAATAGTAAAACACTTGGATTTGCAATGTAGTGCAATCTTTTTTACACATTTATTGGCATCTTGAAAATCACACCTAAATAAGTTATACACTTCCATTTGTGTGAAAAGTCACACACGCCAATAAAATCAAACATCCATTCGTGCATGAAAAAGTCACACACTTACAGACGTCTTGAAACGGCGGACACACATCACATGCGATAAAGTGTGTGATATTCACACACTGCTTCTAACAGTGTAATGGACCTTGCGAAAGCGCCTGTGTAAAGCCCTTATCTTTCGAAGGAGCAATGAGGAAGACTAGAAGAACATACATCTTTATAGACACACGATATAAATAATATAATAAAATTGATAACATAATTATATTCCATCATCTAGTGAGCTTAAATAGAATAATTTCAAAACTGATTCAACATTCAAGATATTAGATAACACTTTCACACAGAACTAATCCGGTATTCGCGTAGCCTCTTATTTAAATGCACGCCGTATCTTTTTAGTTTCAACGAGAGCTTCTACGGCAACGAACGAGTGTCGTAACAATTTACATCTGTAATCTGTAATCTATAACCGGCAGGTATGAAGCAGCCGTCGTCCCCATTCTCCCGTTATACATTTATCCGACAATCGCAATGACGAGCGCGGTAAAGCAATGTCCTCGATAAACCTGTGAGACACGCGTTAGCATCTCTCTCCGCGTTGTTAGCATCGCAAGCGAGAGCGTACGCATCGACGACTGTCAGGACTGGAAGTCGTCGCGCGACTTCCAGTTTATCTGCTCGCCGAAAGCTCGCCGCCGTTTTCGCGTCCTCGGCGACGGCGGCGGAGGACGAAAAAAAAAAGAGGAGGAAGAGAAGGAAGGGAGGCAGCGAGGGAGCGACGAACGGAGAGTGGCACTCTTGGTGTGTCGAGTGGGTGGTCCAATTACCCTACGGTTTCGCGCTCACGAGTAGCACGTGCAGGCCCCAGTAATAAGACTCTTTCCTTCAAAGCTGAGGCTAAGCCGGTGCTAAGTCCGGGGCCGCCTCGGTTTTAGTTACGATTCCGCTGACATCATTAGCCAAACATCTGGTCCGCCACGACCAGCCACCACCACCGTCGTCAGCGTCGTCGCTCCCTCGACAGCATCTCGCCACCTCCGTCTACGTTCTCATCTACATCTCCTCCTCTCCGTCTGCATTCGCTTCTCGTCATCGGTCTGCCTGACGATTCGCGTAGTCGTCGTCGTCGTCGTCGTCGTCGTCGTCACTTTATGAGCGGATCGCCGGCGATATCCGTCGCGCGGGTCTTTGAGATCCGCGAGACGGACTATACCGGACGCGAGTTCAGAACGACTTCTGGTCTTTGATATCGGCGCTCTACCGCGTTTTGCCGACCGACATTCTTGTCGAGCTCTTTGCTTTACGGTGGGTCTGCTGGTCTGCAATGGCGTGGCGTTACACTTGCAAATTTCATTAAATTCCACTCCTTTCCCCCCCCCCCCCACATTACTAATCCTTATTTGAATTCACCCTGAAATTCTGTTAAAGCGTAAGGTTCGACGTTTGTGTTCAGTAAAGAATAGAATTTCATTATTCCGTGCAGTTTTGATTCGCGAAAATCGTTAGGCATTTCCTAATCGCTCCTTACAGTAAAATTGTCAAGTTTACGATATATCTTATGCTAGACGAAACTGAATTGAACGGTCACGTTTAGCTCGACGTGACACAACACGGGAGTTCTGTCGCGTTGATGGATGAAATTTCCAGCAACGCGGCGCTGAAACCTCGACGCCACTGGGGCGGGCTCCGCAGCAAACGCGGCCGACCCGTCGAAGTTATACGATTTCGCTGACACGGCTCGACCAAACGCTTGGACCACTTCCCAGAC